GCTGCTTCGTCTTTTCTTCTCAATGCTTCTGAATTTCCACCCTGCCTTCTGACGCTGAGAAATTCTTGTTAGCCACCAGGTGTACCGCAGGTTTGGAATTCTGTTCATTGAAGCTTTCCTGGGTGCCCAGATAACATGTTGAAAACTTGTTTGTTTTTTACCATGCCCCGTGTTTGGTGTGTACTCAGCCAAAGCAAAGTGGTTTTAAGCACTGCCCTGTGCAGAAAAGCATCAGGGTGATAAATCTGTTGAAGAGAAGTGATGCTTTGGCCTCCTTGATTTTGTGTACCATTGAGAAAGGCACACTTGTATGTCACACTTAGAGCTTCACTTCAGTGTGATGAAATGAATCGCATCCCTACAAATTTTCATGTTGCTTTTGGCAAGTCCAATTCTATTCCCTTTGGCTCCTTGCAATTTCGGAAACAATAGTCTGTAACTTATGCTTGGACTATAACCTGCAATGGATCTTCATTGAAGCTTGCATTTCATCTTCCTTTAGCTGAGTTTTGAGACTAATGTTCTGTAAAACAGTTAAGGCCCCCAGGGGAACCTCCCTCTCAATATTTGCCAAAGAATTCTTATTTTACATTAGTGGGTCACGGTTTTCCTGTAGCCCGCAGTGTAAATGAACACCTTCCGAAGTGGCCTTTGGAATGTTGGATTTCCCGGTGCTGAATCTTTGGCAGTGCAGTGTGTGTGTGTGTGTGTGTGTGTGTGTGTAAGCGTGCAGGCGCACACGCTAGTTTTCCTGAGTTCTCACTTCTTTCACAGGTTGATGCTTGGGTACAAAGGTAGTTCAAAAAGTTCATGGAAAACAAGTTAAACATGTTTGTTTTGTTGCAGTTTGTTGAAACTCATACGTAGTTTGTTGTTGTTGTTGTTGTGTGTGTATGTGTGTGTGTGCGTGCGTGTTTTGGATTACACGCATTTCATGAACTTTTCCAAGTCTGGCGTGGCTGGCCCTGGTTGCTAAATCCACCCCCTCTCCCCCCGGTGCCTGGCCACGTTTTCTGTTTGCAATAGCCACGTGGTCCTGTCTCCTGAGCCTCTGCACACTCATTGTCACCTGGCCTGTCACCTTGCTCCTGGGGAAGAAGGAGCCTCCCCTGGCAGCTGGCCAGCAGCTCAGACCCACAGAGTCACAAGGAACACTGCAGGGCTGCCCTTTAAAACTCAGTCTGGTCCTCTGGGCATGGCCCCCTGGGAGGTTCTGTCGCACTCCGTGTTGCCGTGGAAGAGCTGGAGGGCCCTGTGACTGCATTCTGTCCCCAGACAAGGATGTCCATCTCATGCTATTCTTACTGGGAATAACTAGCTAGGTTCCCCGTATTTGGCCAAGAACTTAATATTTTAAGATGAGTAGAGAAAACAGATCCTGAGAACAACAACGAACTCACCAAATATCAGGAGACACAGTTACAGTTTTTAAAGTGCTGTTTTGCTGTCTCCACATCCTCTCAGGTTGCAGAACAGGAAACGACGGTGGTGTCAGAAGTGGTGACGCTCGTGACCCACCCCCAGGGCCTGCTGCAGCCTTGCCTGTTCATTCATGGTGCTTAGCTATTAGTGAGACATGTGACAGAGGGTGGGAACCAGGTGGCTGATGGGATTGTAGGGGGAAGCCTTGCCAGCAGGGACCTTCCAGCTGGCAACAGCCTCGTCATCCCCATTAGGAGACAAGCAGCACACCTTTCTGCACATGTGTGCCTCCCAGCAAACAGACCACACTGCTGGTTCCCCCGGCGAGGCTGCACTGACTGAACTTTAGCCATCCAGAGGTGTCAATGGGGTAAAAGTGACCCAGCCCCAGGGAGTGCTAGCTATGGAAAGAGGGGCAGAACACCGCTGGGGAATCAGGAATAGGGATGCCAAATTCCTCTCTTCTCATCAGGCCCATGAATCAGGACCAGTCTTGGTCTTGGGAGAAACCCAGCAAATCCATCTTTCCTTAGTACACATTTTTGGTCAGCCTAAGTTGCATCATGTCAACTCTGTTGCCTTCCCATAGAGCTGCTCTCAAGCTCATCTGTGAGCTTATGCTGGCCAAGCACAAAGTGCCCCTTGGCCAGTCCTTACCTGCTTCACCGGGACCACTCAGGGAATGCTGGGAATGTCCACCATCAGCCCTGCTGTTACTTATCCGTACAAATGAAGTTCTAAACCTAATCAATCCTATTTAATCCTGGAGAATTAGGAAAGATCACCCATCCCCGTTACCAGCCTCTCATCTTTCCAAAACTTTGGGCTGGCAGTGGGCCAGCAGGGTCTTGCCCAATGTGTGGTGCCCTGCAGTGGGCATTTGTTCATGGGCCAGATTGCACCACCTACCCAAACCCACTGTAGAGGGACCATGAGAGTGCCAGGGCTGAACAGAATTCATCTAACGAACAGGTGCTGAGTGCCATGTTCAGCCCTGGTGCCGTGGTGAACAGTGACAGCAGGGCAGCCTCTCACAGCTGGTATTCCAGTAAGGAACTTGAAGGGGGTGGGGCAGCCTGGCCCTTCTGCAGTGCCAGGGTAGGGAGGGCATATGACAGTCACCTGCCTCACCAGGTGTGGAAGAGAGCCAGTGTGTTCAGGGCCTGCTGTGGGCTCAGACTGGATACCCTGGCAGGCCTGACTTCCCATGGCCTCTGCTGCTTCCCTAGGCACCAGGGGTTCCCAGCCTTGGCACGGATAACATCTGCATCATACAGCTCTTAGCCATGGGGTGCTGCCCATGCATTGGGTGTTGGAGGGTGCTCAGCAGTGTTTCTGGCTTCTGCCCACAGCTGCTGGTGACACCCTCCCCCCCCCCGAGTTGTGGCAATGCAGAATGTCTCCAGATGTTGCGCCCATCCCAGTGAGGTTCTCTGCTACATGCCTCCTGGGAATGTTGTTCTCCAACTCAGGTTCTGCAGTTCTTTCTTCTCTGACCTGTGCAAGCACCAACCATCGGACTCACCATGTCCCTTCGTCCAAGGCTGCCTGCCATAGCTGCATTGCCAGCCTGACTGTCCCTTCTCACTCCCACCCCTATGGAGCCCACTCACTCAGCACTGAGTCCCATTCCTCTGCTTCCTCCCTGTAAGATCCCAAAGTGCATTCCTGGGAACATGGACCCTTCAGTTGGGCTGCTAAAAAAAAAAATCCCTCTGAAATAATTGGCTGAGGGACTGCCACAACTTAAGTTGGCAGAAAATCAAGGGCTCCAACTAGATGTGTGTCAGGGGATCGCTCTGGGTTCCCTTCCATTTTCTGTGTGACTTCCAGGGTCTAGCATGGTGCACAAGATGCTCAGGGAATGTTTTCTTGGAGGGAACTTGGGACTGAGACAGGTTGTGGGCTGCAGGTGCAGTCAAGAAGTGCTGCAGCCCCCCATGCCAGCATAAACACTGGCAGAAAAGGTAGCATCAGCAAGAAGGACAGGCCAGCTTTGGAGAGCCCCACTCCTGGTGGGGAGAGTGGGGTGAAGTAGCACCTGAGACTCCAGAGACCAGCACCACCAAGCGGGGTTAGCAGATGCTGGCATGACTGTGTTACTGGTGATGACAGCCCTACCTTGACACCCTGCAGGGGAGACAGAAGAGCTAGGCGTGCACCTGTACTCTTGGGATGCTGTAGATGGGGGAGCCACCCTGGCAGTGACCACCCCAGCTATCCCCAAGTTATGTGGAACTGTTACCAGGGAATCACAGTCAAATAGCATCAGGAAGCAGAGCTCCCCAAAACTAAATATTGCGTGCGCACACACACACAGCCCTGAACCTTGGGGAATATGATGTTTTTTCTCTCGCATGTGAATTTTCTCAGTTCTGTAAGCACCTTTGATGTCACCATTGCAGACCATGACAGAGGGGGCTGAGCACGACCCCTTCCACTCAGGGATGCCAGAGCTCAGCATCAGAGAGAAGCCGCTCACTAAAGACTGGCCTGGCAGTCCAGGGTCACTGCCCACGGCCCCTGCCTGGGCTGGTCTCATCCTTCAGCCAGAGTTAGGAAGGTCCCCAGAGCATGCTCTAACTGCACACCACAGGAGGCCTGTCCCTTTAGAGTAGGACGGGCCTGAGGCAGTCTGTGAAACTCCTAGGACTGCTATTCCCTAGAGACGGATCTTCCCAGGGCAGGACAGACGGATGAGACGTGGGGATGACGAGTGGGCCAGAGCAGGGTCTGGACACTGCCAGAGGAGCGTGGGGGAGCAGGTTTATGATTGCTGCGCCAGATGTTTGGGTTCACACAGTGGTCTTGTGTACGAGGAGCCATGCCCGAGTGCCTGCATGCCCAAGCTGCCTATGGAAGAAGTGTTTTACCAGGGTATTTGCCAGTGAAGGATGCAGGCAGAGTGTGCCCAGACCCAGGCTCCTCCCACTCTCCTCTGCTGTTGGTGTGTTCTCTGCTTAGGAACGAGTAACCTCCCAAGAACATCTGTGATGCACACATGATACACACATGTGCCTTGACACTGTCACGCGCACACGGTGTGCAGACATGTGCATCAGCAAGTCCTGGCTGGCACAGTCAGGTAGAAGGTGCTGCCCAGAGTTTCCATGTGACTGCCCTGGAGGCTCAGGCTTTCACAGCAACAACCCAGGGAGAGGGCAGCTCATCTCAGGAAGCCTAGTGCAGACCAAGCCCAGATGCGGCCCAGGGACACGAGGGCTCTTTTCAGAAGAGCGTGGCCCCCGCAACAGGAACAAGCTCTCCATCCTGCAGAGACCCCTTGCGGGAATTAAGGGAGCAAACAGTGATGCTGTGAGCTGCTGGTTCTTCTGCTCACGTGGGCCAGGCTCACACTGGGGGAACCACACTACCAGCGTCGCTTGGCCGGTGTGGGCCACTTCAAGGGTTTTCTGGAGAAGAGGAGGAAGGGACAGGAGAGTTGGGCAGCCTTCAGGCCTCACTTTGCTTTCTTCCTCCTGCCAGCTTGCAAGGTGATGATGATTTTTTTCCAAGTGGCCTGAGCTCACAGCCACGGCTTTCAAGAATTAACGTAGACTTCTCCTGTGTCTCTCCAGAAAGAGAAGAAGAGCACGCTGCTGAAGCTGCTAGCCGGGGCCTCCACGAAGAAGAAGCCACGCTCCCCAACGTCTGTCTCTCCGACCCACGACGCCCAGGTGGCCATGGACGTCGTCCTCCAGGGCGCAATGGGCCCTGAAGTGTCCTCACTGTCCATCCACGGCAGGGCTGGGTCCTGCCCCATAGAGAGCGAGATGCGAGGGGCCATGGGGCTGGAGCCGCTGCACAGGAAGGCGGGCTCCTTGGATCTCAACTTCTCCTCACCCCCTTCCCACCAGACACCTCTTTCCATGGCTGCCATCCGCCCTGAGCCCAAGCCATTGCCCAGTGAGAGGTAAGTTGGGGTGTGGTCTGCAGCCTGGGTGGCTGTGCTTCAGGGCCCCTGGCAGCTGAGCCACCTGCGGGGGATAGAGACAATGGGGTTTCTCTGAAGACTGGTTTACCAGATGCTCTTGCCAACCCAACCTCCCTACCCCCAAGTTCCCCCCAAGTTCCCAGAGCGTGGTGGCAAGCGTCAGGGCCAGGGTGTGGTCCATATGCTGGACCCAACAGGTTCCTACTGGTGAACCAGTGAGGAATGTGAGAGAAACTTTTTCAGAACTGATATGGTTCCAGGAGCAAGTGTGAGAGCTCTGGTCAGAGGCACTGTGTCCTGCCAAGTGTGGGAGTCCCTGGAGTGGGCCCCAGGCATGAATCTCCCTTGTACAGGTGCCCCACCTTCTTGGTGTCTTGCATTCTGACATCCTTGCATTATGTCTCATCACCCGATGCTGGCTGCCAGTGTATCTAGTGTATTAAGTTGAACCACATGAAATTGATGACTTTAACCATTTTTTACACAAGCTGACAGCCTGTGAAGGTCTGGCAGCTGAGTCGAGCTGGGAGGTATGGCCCACCTGGGCTAAGGTTGCAGGGCAGCAGGTGCCCAAGTGTCCCATGTCAGGAGGGCCAGAGGAGCTCAGCTCCTTGCAGGAGCCGTCTGAGGGCAGTCCAGCCTCAGAGGCTCTCAGATGCAGGCTCCAAGGAATGCCAGGGCAGGCGATGGATGTTGAAGCAGGAGAATGGAAGATTCTAGCCATGGCAAGTCTCAGCACTGCTTGAATAAGGAAAACATGAGCATTTTCCTGGAAAAGAAATCTCAGCAATGCTGTCAGAATCCATTTGCCCTGAGTGCAATGCTAGCGCATGTAACACAGAAGGTAGGCCCCAACCTCAGTGCCTGCTACGCTCCTGGACCCCTTCCTGGGGCCACTTACCCACCCTGGGGCTAAGGCAAGGCTCCATACAGGTGGGGCTGGCATCTACTTCCTGTCAAGGACCAGGTACAGGTGCTATGCTGTTCCATGGCAGCTGTCAGCTCTGCCTTTGTAATGGAAGATAGCGAAGATGTGCGCCCACAGGTGGCCTGGATACTCTACTAGGGGACATCAAACTTAGGTTTCCTATAATTTTATTATGTTTTGAAACCTTCTGGTCTCTTTTTTAACCATTTTTAAGTGTGCCAAGTTTCTTGGCTCTTACGTTAGCCACAGACCACAGCTTGAGACGCCCCTTCTAGAGGAGGCTTTTGAGGGAGCCTACAGTGGCCGTGAGATCCAAGGTCCTGCAGAGGTGCTGTGGGTCAGCAGTCACCAGTTAGAGGGCAAGCTGGCACTTACGCTCTTGGAATCACAGTAGCTAACATCTGTGGAGTGTGTGCAGAGTGCCAACGGCTGAGACAGGAGCCAGTGCCAGCATCCAAAGCGGCCTTGCCCAACCCCAGCGTGTTCCCTGCAGCCTCCTCCCAAGTGCTTCCTTCTTCAGCATCCTCACTTTATAGATGAGGAAGCAGGTTCCATAAAACGTTAACTAGCTTGCTCAAGATCGCACAGTGAGGTGGCAGCTGAGCCAGAGATGCAACCGAGGGATTTGGATTCTCTGAACCGCCTCACTTCATGGGGCGCAAGGTCAAGAGCCCCAAAATACTCGTAAGGGCCCAGGATGGAGGCCATGTGGCTTGAGAATATTGTGGAGCACATCACAGTCCTGCCAGGTGCAATGCCTGCTCCTGAACCCTACACACACAAACACATACGCATGTACACACATGCATGCACACGCATGTAGAGACACATGCACATATACACACATGCCCACACATGACACAGAAGAAGCAGCCCTGGGGAGATGCAGGGTTGCCATTCACTACCTAGAAGTCTGCCATTCTCCAGAGCCAACAGGCCAGCTCTGTGCCTTGGGATGAGAGGCCACCATGGCTGGCACTGGTGGCACAGAGGCAGAGAGCTGCTGGCCTGGCCCCACACTGGAGAGGTTCCTTAGGAGAGGGTGAAGGAAGAGAACATGCATGTGTATGTGGTGTGTATGACTTTGTATGTATGTGTGTGTGTGGTGTGCATGGCTTTGTATGTATGTGTGTGTGTGTGGTGTGCATGGCTTTGTGTGTGTGGTTTGTGATATACATGATTGTGTGTGGTGTGCATGTGTGTACATATCTATGTGTATGTGTGTGGTATGTGTCCATGTGTACATGGTGTGTCCATGACTTTGTATGTTTGTGGTGTGTGGTGTGCATGGCTGTGTGTGTGTGGTGTGCATGGCTCTGTGTGAGTGTGGTGTGCTTGGCTTTGTATGCGTGTGTGTGTGTGTGTGTGTGTGTGTGTGTGTGTGTGTGTGTCTTTGTGTGTATACTCGTGTGTGTGTAGTGCCTGCCCACATGGTGTGCATGAGCATCTGTATGCCCACGTATTTGCTTGTGTTCCTGTATGCTGTATCGATATGTGAGTGTGGTATGAATGTGCGATGTCATATGTGCCCATCTGTAAGGTGGACAGGAGTCCCACCTCTCCCTGGACAGCAGTGCAGTGCACCTAGACTCTGCAGGGTGGTGGAGCTGCTGCTAATCTGGATGGGCTGTGACACGTTCCATACTCTTCTCCAGCCATGGAGAGCACACTCCCTGTGGCCCCTCCAGTTTTATTTTCAAAACAGGGCTCCCACACTCTCAATAAAAGGCAGTGCAAACCTGTGCTCTGAAAAGCTGTTGATGTCTCTGACTCCCATCATCACTGCCTTTGTCCGAGTATGCGATCTCATCAAGAACTATTGTACCCAGAGACTCTGTTCCCATTTCATCCCCTCACTTCTTGCAGAACTCACGGAAAAGAAGATTTTCAAGCACAGCCTAGAACTAAATTGTTAGCCAGGTCCCCAAACAGAACCCACCCTTATCCCAGGCAGTCACAGGCTGCTGGTGTCGGTGGGAGCCAGATAGGTTGAAGCTGAAGCCGTGACAGGGCCATGCCTCAGCCTGGGATGGCTCTGGCCCTGTGGGCCGGTGAGTCCTTCACAGCTTGTCTTGGCAGAGGAAGCGCTGGGGAGTGGCCACCATGCCAGCAAAGGTGAGGGTCGCTGATGGCAGAATCCCTACATGTTCACCCGAATGCCAGATATGGGCTGTCCTGAGCTCCGTGTGTTTACTGAGATGGGGCTGCTGGTAAGAGGGGAGCTGGGGGCAGTCAGAATTGAAGTTCCCACCCCATAGTATGGAGGATGAGCCACTGGCTGCAGGTGCCATGGGGTTGCTGCCTGGCTTTGCTCAGCCATTTCTACGCACAGACCATCTTGGGACCAACTACAGAAGCAGAGGGAGCAGCTCTTCTTACCACTATAGGGAGGAAGTCCGGGTGAAGGTACTACAGAGGGCACGCCAAGGGGGCTGCCTCCCTTAGCCCATGGTAACAACCTGTAGGAACCAAGTCCCCAGTGTAGTGAACAAGCCGGTGGGCCAGTTACCAGTAACTTCCAAAGGCACTTAAATCTAAGCCACCTAAACAGACTTTTGAAAGAATACACAGAGCGAAATTTCTGGAAGCTGCCTGGGAGATGCACAGCGGACTAGACATCACGTGTCATCAGATGAAAACCATCTACTGGCCTCATCTCACCAGTAGGGCTGGCAATGGTCAGTCCTAGCTGGGGCCAGCTCCTCCTCGGGTGCCCACCTGGCTGTTGCTGTATGTCCCTGCAGTGGCAGAGTGGCTAGGCGAACATGGATGCATGTGTCACCCATCAGTCATTTTGCCCTAAGTTTCTTCAGCTCTTGAGTCCCAGGACCCACATAGGTTAAATGATAGATTGATACCTCAAGAAGTATGAGCGTACAGTGACTATATATATGCGTGTGTGTGTATGTGTATTTGCTTAATGCAAGTAGGATGACGATGGTTATGAAACTCCAAATCCCTCCCGCCCCCAGTGCATCTCTAGCAATCCTTTTGTCTTTAGATTGATTTATTTGCCCATCAGAAGGTCAGAGAGCAGGATAGAGGGAGAGCTTCTATCCATGGGTTCACTCCCAAATGGCCTCAAGCATCAGATCCGTGCCAGGAATTCCATCCTGGTTTCTCACGTGACAGGGGCCTAAGTACCTGGACCATCCTCCATTGCTTTCCCATGCCCATCAGTAGGGAGATTGATAAGAATGAAGCAGCTAGAACTTGAAGTGGCACTGATACAGTACGCCAGCACCATCAAAGGTGGCAGCTTATCCACAATGCTGGCTTAATCATTCCCTGGGTCTCATTGGGCTATAAGTCATTAGGCTAAATTGGGATTTAGAAATAGTTAGCTTTAATCCCATTATGTGTTGTAGTAGCCAGAATCATGGCTCCTCATGTTTCCTATGCCTTTACATATGAAACTTACGTGGCAAGGCAGGATCAAGGGGGCGGGTTGAATTAAGCTTGCTGCTCGGCTGGCCTTCACGGGGACGGTGGAGGGGTGGTGGTGGTCCTGAGGTCTGCACAGGGACCCGGCACAGAACCAGAGGCTCCTTACGGCAGAAGGGATGGTCAGGATGATGCAATCTACAAAGGACTTGAAGTGCTCTTGGCATCTTTGAGGAAGAGGAAGGGGCTCCGGGGAAGGATGGTGAGCAAAGCTCTACAAACCAGAAAAGGCAGGGGGGCAGATTCCATCAGGAACCTGCAGACAGAATCGGGCACCTTGATTTTAGCCAAAGAAAGCTATTTCACAAGTAATAGGTGTGCGTGTGTGTGTGTGTGTGTGTGTGTCACTGTGTGTGGTCGTGCGTCAGGCAGCTAACAATCCTGGCTTGGAGTGGTGGTTCTAGTTTGGTGGTTTGAATTTACAGTGCAAGCCTTTCACTTTCACTCCCCTATTCGGCACATTGCGTTTATTATTATAATGAAATGTTCTCATTGGATAAGTGGCCATAGCTGTAAGCAGCGTTAAGTATCCTCGGGAGGTTTAAGGTAGGTCAGGCTGGATGTACCAACTGCTCCCCCTCCACATGGCCACAATAGCTGGGACTCCATCTAGGTCTCGACCCCTGGGAGTGGCGGGATCCCAGGCATTTCCACTGCCTTCCCCAGCGTGTTAGCTGGAGCTAAAACAGAGCAGCCTCGACTCAAAGCAGCGTTCATACCCAAGATGCCAGCGTTGCAGGCGGCAGTTTAACTCACTGTGCGAGGTTTTCAACTTACAGAGAATTTATCGGAACGTAACTCCATCCAAAGATGCATCTGTACATGTCTTCTGGTCATAACCAAGTTCCTAACAGAACACCACATCCCTCCAAGGCAGGAACCCATTTGCCCTTGACCATGACTAAGTAAATACTCTGACAAAGGAGCCTCGGGGAGGGCCTTGTTGTGTAGACCGGGCCTCAGCACAAAGTGACTTGCATATGCAGCTGTCACAATTCATCCTGATTCTGACGGCTTGGATGTGTGAGCCTCTTGGCTGTCTGTATTACAACGTGGCTGACTCGGAGGGGCAGGGCCGCTCTCATTTACGGCACCACAGTCCTGACCTGGGCGTGGCGGCCATCCTCAGCTGCTCACAGAGCCTGTGTATCTAGGACTGAGAGTCGGTTGCTTGCATGAGCAGGAAGAACAGCTCATAGTCTTGGAATGATCTGGACAGAAACACTGAATGCTTGTCTCCTGTAAATTCAGCCCATATCCATCTGAGTGCATTAAATCACTGAATTGCTCAGAAGCACCAAATTATGTCTTTCTAACAAATTACAGTTTTAGAGCTGCTTGTTTGTTTCACATCTGGCAGTTGAGGCAAAAGCCAAAACTTTCATTCAGCATCTGAGACTCATCCTGCCCTTCCCCATCCTTTCCTTTGGGGAAGAGAGGGAAAGAGCAGGTGCTGGGAGAGGAAGCAGAGGATGGCAGAAAGCCACAGGTAGGCTGGCCGCCGGTCCTGTGGACACACAGAGCCTCGGTGCTAGACAGGTGGGAGTGGGGTGTCTGGTGACCTTGTCACTCAACTTCACGGTCTGCTGGCTGTATCCCAACAGCATCTGTCCTCCCTTAAGGAGGGGCCCACAGTGGTCCTGGCAGTGGCACCCTCCACCCTCCCAGCCTCCACACCCCTGGGAGCCAACATCTGGCTCGCCGTAGACGGCAGCAGGAGCAGATACATACAGCCTTCCCACACCTGCAGACATTCCAAGGCTCTTAGACTTGGCTGCTGCTCCGGGCTGGGACTCGGATGGGGGCCTGTCTTTCCCAGATTTCTCAGGAATATAATAAACACTGCACAGCCACCAAGTCAGTTTCAGGAGCCCATTCTCACTGCTTCCTGCTCTCACCCTCCTGAAGTGGGCTGGGGCCAGGTGCCACGGGCTGTGAGCTCCCTCTGGGCAAGCCTCGGGTTTCTCTGGACATCAGTGCCAACCTAGCACCGATCTGAAGCCGCCAGAAGCTGTGTTTGATTGGTCCCAGGCCAAATGGGTGGGCTCTCCAGGCTGCGGGGCAAGCCAGGCTGAGGAAGGGTCAAAGTCCCGTTTGCATGATGTTTGTAGAGAATTCATTTTCCTGACCTGTCCCCCAGAGTCTATCAGATAGAAATCCTGAAGTCTGTGGGCTGTACTCAAAGAGATGCTGGCTTGGAGTCTCTTTCACTTTGTTGTATAATGCCCTCGTTTCTCAAAGCCCTGAATCCCTCTATTCTGATACTCTGGGTGCTGAATCCCCTGGAGAACCCCTCAGAGAGTCAGTGCTGGGGGAGGGGGGGCAGGGAAGTGGCAGAGATGGGCCAGCAGCCAGTGCCCAGGCACTGCCAGGGCAGGAGGCAGTCACTGGGCTGGATTCCTCATGGGTGCCTACTGCAGACTTGGACTCTCAGGAAGCAGCCCCTATGATGGCTCCCAGGTCCTGGGGACCCACTCACATGGGTGCCAGCTCTCCTGGAATCTCTGCAGCTGTCTTCAGGACACGTGTCTTCAGCTTTGTTGCCAATCTAATTCTGTGACTCGATGCTCCCTTAGGGCTTATGGGAGACACAGAATCCAGGCTGTAGATGTGGGCACTGGGCTTGACATGTCAGGCAGGTCCCACAGCCTAGGGAACCCAAATGCAGGCCCTAGGACGGCTGGCTCAGTGCTATAGGCATGCTGCAAGCAGCCTACAGGGCAGACTCCCTCCGTCTACCCAAACGCAACACATCAGGTACTTGACTCCTGTCCCTTGCTGTTGCCCACAGGAGTGGCCATCAGGGCAGCTGACAGTGAGAAGCAAGATGAGCCATGGCCTTCCATGCTCTGAGAGCTGAAGAGACAACAAACAGAGGCACTGAGCGGGAGGCAGATCTGGGGTGAGCATGGCCTCATCCTGGGGTGAGCATGGCCTCTGTGGGCCTGTTCCTCGCCCTCTGAGTCTGGGGTGACTATGTGTATGCAGACATTAGCACATAGAAGCATAGCTGGTCTCCCAGGATAACAGGATAGTACACAGTCCCTCAGTACCCATGAGGGACAGGTTCCAACAATCTGAACACCAAAGCCACGGACACTCAAGTGCCTTACAGCAAAACCTGCGGAATTTGCACAGAGCCTCCTCGCTTGCTTGGGACATCCAGTACACTACGGATGCCATGCCAACTGCTTAGGCATGATGACGGGGCCAGGAGTCTGCACGTTCGGTCCAGGCACGATTCTCGATGAGCATTTGGCATTCGTGGTTGGTTGGATAGAGAGTGGAGAGCCAGTGGCATTGATGAGATGCGCCTGGCGTGAGCTGAATCAAGCTGCTGTTTCGGCACCAGGGAGCAGTCCCTTTGAAGGCGCAGAACTGCCAAAGATTGGAACTGGGTCCTCACCGCATGCACCTGGGCTTGCTGGCCGATGCCTGTGGGCCTGGGCAGAAGGGCCCCATGTTGCTGGGGGCGGGGAGGTATGGAGAACTCTTTGAGCAACCCCGAGGTTTGCTTGGTAGCATCCTCCCAGGGAGGGTCTTGGAGCTGTGTGTGTGTGTGTTGGTGCACCATGAGTGCTGTTGGGCCTAGGGTCACCCTGAAGTTCCATGCCCCAGGCCAGCTGCTGCAGAAGGTCACCCCTGGCCTCTGTCCTGAGAGCAGCTGCCTTAGCTCAGAGGGGCCCTCCAGCCTGTGCCACCCCGCCAGGGCCCAGGGGCAGAGGCTGCAGCCAGAAAAGGGCTCTTCTGGTTTCTTAGGATTGTTGGAGCACATTTTAAAAAGAAGGACTTTTTCTGAACAGCATTCAAATACCTTTCACATGCCAGGTAGGGCCCAGACACCTGAGAGTTGGTAGCACAGGTGACAGGTCTGCTTGTCACCCAAGCCCTGGAGCTAAGGGACTGCAGTGGCCATGGCTGGGATGCGGGGGTTGGGGACAGGATCTACGTCAAAGTCCACACTGTGGACAATGGCTTTGTAATGCTCTTAAATTAAAAAATGAAGCTGTTACACTGGCAGAAAGGGAGGACAGGGGGCCTTGCAGGCCAAGCTCACGCTCCCCCCACCCCGTCTGCTTCCTCCCCCTTCACCAGATACCGCGTCGTGGTCTCGTACCCACCACAGAGCGAAGCAGAGATCGAGCTGAAGGAGGGGGACGTAGTCTTTGTGCACAAGAAGCGAGAGGACGGCTGGTACAAGGGGACCCTGCAGCGCAATGGCCGCACCGGCCTCTTCCCTGGAAGCTTCGTGGAGAGTTTCTGAGCCGTTGAACCTCTGCATCCCACCACCCCAAGAGGAGGCCTCTCAGGAGGAGGCCACAGCATGGGGAGGGGGGGCCGCTGCCTTGGTCAGAGAGCCCCAGGTGCCATTGAAGGTACCTGACAGGTAGCACCCCGGACTGGGATTGGGTTGGGTTGGGTTGGGTTGGGGCATGGGGGCCATGCCTTCTCCCACACCCAGCACTGAGGGGGCATTCTGGGTTGTCACACAAATGCCCGCTTCTCCATGTGGGCTACAAGAGAAGTACAGGGGCAGGTGCCCCAGCAGGACTGGCAGATGTGGATTCACAAGGGGGCACAGACTCGCAAGGTAAGCTGGCTCCCGGAGCCTTTGGGGCCATCTCCCCAGGCTGACCTGGGCCTCGGCATCCCTTTTGGTCTCTATATACCTCAGTCACCTGCCACACGGTCGCTTGGCAGGCTGTGCACAAGGGTCCCTGGAAGGGGAGGCATCTGTGGGTGGCCAGAGCACATTCGCTGTGCGGCTTTGTCTCGTGCCAGGATTATGAGCAACACTTTTGTTTTGCCACCGCTGTCCCTTGCGTTGTTTCTTACAGCATCTTTTTAGCCTAAAGCTGTTAGACTTTCTATATTTCTAATAGGTCAGACATTGCCTATTTTCATACATCTGGTGCTGCCTTTTTTTGTAAAACGAATAACGACTTGGTTGAGCTTGAAAGAAACATGTCTGCAGCAACATCAAAGGCCCAGGCCTTTCACATCTACCATATGAATCCCAGAACCCACTGGGAAGCCATGTCCTCGGCGTGCTGGCGCTGGCGGGCACTCTGCAGGCAGAAGCCAGCCTGTGTGGGTGGCTGAGACCTGGAACCAGCCCATTCCTTGAAGCCCTCACCAAAACCCTGGACTCCGTCTAGACAGTGGTGGTTGTTATTCAAGAACTGGAAACAGGTCAAGGCTGGGCAGCTTTCATTGCCCTGCTGTGTGGCAGGAAAAAGATCCCACGGGTCGACCCAGCCTGGGGAGGCAGGGCCCTCTTGTACGCGGCTTCCAAGAGAAATGTGCCAGCTTTTTTCTTTTTTTTCTTTTTTTTTTTTTTTTTTGCCTCATTTCAGATCCCTACCTTACAAAGTTGCCCTTCTTTTTTACAACAGTGGCACAGGTGTCATCTTCTGGGGAACCTGGATCTGGAAGTGGCACTGCCGAGTTGTAGGACCCAGGGCCAAGCAGCAGGAGGGGCAGGGAGCAGCTGCCTTGACCTGCGGCAGGTGGATTTGTGCACCTTGGGATGCTGGCTCCCTACACCAGCCAGGCAGGTTTGCTCCTGACGCTTCGAGGCTATGAGTACATTCTGGTCATCTCCAAGTCACAGCCCCTCTCTCCACAAAAGCCCCTCGGGCTTAAATTAGGCTGAACAAATTAGCCTTTGACAAAGTCAGATGTTGCTAGTTTTCAGGGATGCAAAAATTGCAGGAACAGCACAGGCTCTTGGCCCACGTGAGGCCTCTGGGGCAAGCTCCTGATTCCCAACCCTGCATTCTGGGGCCGTGGCTGGGTCCTTGACTCACTGCCTGGTGCCACGCTGGGGGCTCCCATGCCTTGTCTTTCTCCAGAGGATAACAGATGCGATCAGGTTGAGACCTCTGTACTGAGCGAAGACGAAGCCCCCTCGCTTCAATGGCGATGCCCTGTGCACCAGAGCAGTGACAGCTGGAAGATGTCACCATCATTAACAAATGCGTTGCCCGCCAAGCATGGAACGCCCATGCAGTTTTGAATTCCTGTTGTCACCCGAGGTGCCTAGATCAAGTCCCTGAGTGCAGCACGTGCTACCCAGTAAAACCAGAGCTAACTCAGGTCTCCAATCAGAGAAAGTCTTTGTGTGTCGAATGAGGCCAAGCAGCAGGGCAGCGCACATGGTGCTCCGTACAGCCCTATGTTCACAGCCCTGTCCTGGGGGCGGCTGTGGTCCATGTGGCCCAGCGCCCCTGCCTCGTGGGAGAGGTGGCACCAACGGTAAGGTACTTTCCCAAGACAAGGTCCGGGGTGGGCATGGGTGCCACCTCGGGAAGGGAAAGTACAACCAGGGGCCCAGTCACTACCACTACCTGCTCTACGACAGGAACCATGCAGCCAACAGCAGGAAAATGAACAGGTGGCCAGGCATTGACGAGAGTTTTTGGAGTAAGTTCAAGGCCTTCAACCTTTGGGGCAGAGCAGGAAGAGCATCAGCCCTTTCTCTTGAGCCACGAATGGCACTCAGCTTGGGGCTTCCCAGAGGACAGTCGTACCCTCTCGGAACCCTCATGCCATATTCTGGTTTCACAGTGCACACGACTGAGCCAACAGGGCATTTGACGGGCAAGGGAATTTGCTCTGAGCGGGGCACAGAATCCATAGATGTAACCTGGGTCTTCTTGGGCCCAGGAGGCAGGACAGCCAGGCCTGCAGAGAGAGGAGGTGGCAGAGAGGATGGTGGGCAATAGGCACAGATGCAACGTGAGGCTGGCACTCCTAACCCAGCCCCACAGACTGAGAAACCCTTTGTACTTTGCACAGTTCACACACACACACACACACACACCCAATGTTTCTGTTATACACAAATGTCAGTGTGTGGTTTTAGAAGAGTTGACAGTGATGACAAACTCCAATGCCTGTGTTTCTGAGTCTTTAAATAAAACTGAATGTGGAGAGGTCTTGTGTCTGCATACGGACGGCAGTGGGGTGGGAGCTGAGGCTGTGGATGCTGAACAGAAAGGCCTGCCCCGGAGCAGGAGCACAGAGCTGTGGCCCATCGCCCACTTACCCACAGCCAGCATGCAGGCTCACATGCTTGCAACCTGCTGTTCCCACGTGGCAACGGAAGATGCCTGTGCCGGGATGGTGGATTGTGGCCATCAGTGAAGACAGATGCCATATCCAGACATCTGCCCGCTGGGCAGTGGGAATCTAGACGAAGGTGAGGGGTTAGCCCTGAAGTCTCCGCCAGAGGCTCATTGGCCTGGAAGGACAGAAGAATCTCTTACAGATGGATCCCCTTCCTTTTCTGCACTTACTCCTGCCCCCGTCTCTGGCTGTTGAGGTGTCCTGCCTGTAGGCACACTCCTGTCCTCTGGAGTGTCATATGGAGTCCGTAAAATCCATCCTACTCCGGAAAGCTGTACCAGATGAACTGGCCTCTGCTGGCAGCCAACCCATCAGGGGCTGCATGACCCCATGAAAACTGACTGATTAAACAGCATGGAGCTGGGAAGGAGGACCAGCATTGAGGAAGGCACACCCTACCTCACTCCATTTCCATCCCCAACAAGGCCATGTGGGGGACCCTTGGATTTTGTTCTTACTGGAGAAGCCCCCATGATTAGAAGAGGCTAAGGGAACTGCCTCCTGGGCCACACAGTTCAAGGGGCTCCCTGCCCGAGACTCAGATTTGCCTGTCCAACTCTACAACCACTAAACTTATACCCCTGTCTTGGGGTTTAATCCTGCCAGCAGGCCCCGAGGTCACTGAATTGAGGCAACAGTTTTCTTCAGTCGTAAGAACCACTAGAGACAAGCTGGTGAGGAATGTCCATTTATTCAACACAGATTCCAGGGTTTTGAAGGTTACGGAAGGGGAGGGCAGGAGGGCTTCTATTGCAGCCCCCCCAACTCACCAAAGACACCGTGACTGGCTAGTCAACACATCCATTTCCCTCGACCATCTGGTCATGGTCCACATGTAGACCAGGAAGCTGTGCCTAGGGCCATCAAGGCAGGCACTCGCCCACGCCCCTACGTCAGGGGAAACAGGCTGTGCCCATCAGTGTCTAGAAAGGATACCCAGAACGTGCCCAGTGCATCTTCCAGACAGGGATCTGACTACAGAAATGATACAGTGACCCCTCAGGTGCCATCTTGTGCTCAACTCACACATGCCACTCCCCCTTCTGAATCACTCCCCCTAATCACCCACGGTCCCTGCTCAGCCAGACAGAGAGCAAAGCCCGTGCACGGACCGCCTTGCTCTGTGCCACGTAGGGCTCATTGCTCAGCACCAGCAACCCTGGCTGGGGGAGCAAGGCACTGATGAGCAGGACCTGGGAGCAGTTCTGCCCACATGAAAGCAGGGTGAGGTTTCACGCCAGGTGGTTGCAAGCACTTGGGCCAATGTGTGTGTTAAGCGTCCAATAAACACCCCCTCCTCCATGCTCGGTGCATGTGAGGGCTTCACTCATGTCTCATTTTCATCCTCACATCAGCCTCATGAAGCAGAAACTGTGATCAGCCTATTTCACAGATGGGGAGATAGGCAGAGAACAGTTAGCTAGCTCTCCTAAGGTGGTGGAAGAGGGGAAACAGCTGACATTTGAAACCAGACAGGCCAACTTCAAGAAGTCCTAGGATTGACACCTTGGTGCACATAGCATACCGGCAGCAATGTCCTCTCCCAAGGGTGTCGGTTCAAGTCCCGGATACTCCACTCCCAATCACACCTCTTTGCTGACTTGCCTGGGAAAGCATCAGAAGCTAGCCTAAATATCTGGGTCCCTGTCACACATGCGGGAGACCTGGCTATAGTTTTGGGTTCCTGCCCTGACCGTGGAAGCCATTTGAGGAGTGAACCAGCAGATGCGGATTCTCTTTGTCTCTCCCTCTCTTTTACGCTGCCTTTCAAATCGACCAAACAAATATTGGAACAGGACTAGTCCTCCGCCCACAACCAATCCGCAGCCCAGAGAGACTTGGCTTCCTGGCATTGACCCTGCTGCCCCCTTTGTCCTCCTGTGTGCAGGGACACCTTTTTCTAAGATGCCTTTACATTCTCAGTAGGTCTCAGCTGTCCCTCTGTGCCCTTTGAAACAGTGCCCTAGGTCAACAACTCCTTGGGCAAAAGAACAGGGCCCCCCTGGAGCTGCAGGATTGGGTAGCCTTGTCCTCATAGCCAGGCTGGGGGAACCTGCTCACCCTGACTAGAACAGCAGACATGCGTGGTAAGGCAAGGCAAACCTACTTCACAGACGTGTTTTGACCATCAAT